TATTATTATTATTATTATTATCATTATTACTGTTATTATTGTTATTATTATCAATATTATTATTGTTATTGTTATTATTATTATTGTTAAAATTGTAGTAGTAGTAGTAGTAGTAGTAGTAGTAGTAGTAGTAGTGGTATTAGTAGTACTGCTACTACTAATACTACTACTAGACAAAGACGATGTGAACAAAAAAAATGTATCAAGGATGTATGAGAGATACAGAAAACTAAAACCAACTGCTCCGACAGTTGTAGAAACGACAGATAGACATGGAAGTGAAAGAATGTTTTGGCCATAAAAATAAACAAGTTAGTGTTAACCACAAAATATTTATCGGATTACGATTCTTCTTTTTTATTCTCCTTTTTCTAAATGAAAAAAGCCCGGTAAAAGAGTTAACAGGAGAACTGGAAGGGTGCTGGCTGGAAAAAAAGTGAGGAAGAGGACGGGGAGGGAGAGGAAGGAAAGGGAGCCAAAGCGCGGGGGAGGCACAGTGATAACAGCACTGAACAGGCCTGCAATAAACTGCGGTTGCTGCTGCTGTTGCCGTCATTGCTGTTGTTGCTGTTGTTGCTGCTAGTTTAAATAGTCTTTAGCACAGCGGCCCTAGCATCGGATATAAAGCCAAGCATGATCTCTGTGCGCTCCGCTACCAGCATTAATCGTCCGTCGCCCTTGCTCCATATTCCTCCCCATATTCTGCGGTTTAGCCTTCTTTTTAGCCAACAAAAAGCATACTTTAATTTTCTATCTTTATTTCGAGGAGTCCTAGACTACCTCACGTCATCCCACTTTGATAAGCTAATAGCCGTCAGGGATAAAGTATTCTTCAAGCAGAAAACTTTACACCACTTCAAACAGAGTCTTTTGAGCTTCTATTACCTTTAATCAGCTTATATCTTTACAAATACATAAATATATAGATATAAGTATAAATAAATGAATATATATATATATATATATATATTTATATTTATATATTTATTTATTTCGTTACTTATTCCTTACTCATTCATTGTTTATTCATTTATTTGCTTATATATTTCTTTACTTTTCTATATTTGTAAATAAATACTTTTTGATCTCTTTACTTATTTATATACGTGCCTAATTCATTGTACATATTTGTTTGTAGCTGAAGCATCCTTAGCTATCGCAAAATGTATGTTTTATCTCAATCGAATTTTTTGAATATCACGTTCTTCTCTTTCGGAACAATTGGAAAATCGACTAAGTGGTGATGGTGGGACAGCGGTATCGTTATGAGCCTTCGCCCGACGTATTTAGCGTCAAACTCATCAACATCTTAATGTTTCACATATAATTAAAAATGAAGGGAGAAACTGAACAAATATGAAAAGCAACAAACATCCTTAACAATCTATTTGCTTCTTTTAAGCAGTCATCTTGGTCTTTGATTGTTTTTGCAGCAGCAGTTATCAATTACGGTTTGATTTTTTTTCTTCCTTCAAAACAATGTTCCAAAAACATTTTTTTCAACCAGTTTATAAAACCTATTTAAAAATGAAACGAAAACCCCTTTTCTTCTAAATTAAAGAAAATATAACAAAAAGTCTTCTTTTTTGGAGTACGGCCAGAAAAAAGCAGCAGATTCACATAAACTGAATGCGAAAGTGTGAGCTGCGCTCAGAATCGCTTTTTTCACAATTATCGAGATAAGCAGATGTTTCTGCTACTAATTTTTCATTTTTTCTTCTTCTACTTGGTCTCCTTTCTTTTCTTCCTCTCTTGCCTCTCCTATCATAAAACCGTTCAGAAGCTGTTGTTTATAAGAAAAAAAACGCATACATAAGGCAGAAACCCGATAATTAAAGCATAGAAAAGAACAAAAAAGAAATTATATAAATTAATATTAGAAGCACA